TTTAGCCATGATTCCCACCTTAAGGAGTATGTTCCTATCATTAAGGTGAGACTTTTTTTTGCTAAGTCTGTAGGAAAAATTATTATTCTTAAAAACCATAAAGATAGATATGGAACTGTGCCTAAAAACCTTGACTCACAAATAAGCATTTTCATATTGAAGTGATAAAATGAGGATGAATACTTAAGTTGGAATAAGTACAATATAACAAAAGTATTCTGTTTACAGGACAAACCCGTGTACCCAGTGATTACAGATCAGAAGGGCGTGGTGCTCTCCCTCCCCCCCATCATCAATGGCAACCATAGCAAGATCACCCTAAAGACCCGCAATGTCTTCATAGAGTGCACTGCCACAGACAAACACAAGGCGCAGATTGTGCTGGATACTCTTGTTTGCATGTTCTCTGGTTACTGTGATCAGCCATTCACTGCTGAGCCTGTGGAGGTATTTTTTCTATCAGTTTTGTAATACATCTGGTTCATCTGTTCAGACGTGGGTATTGATGATGATTAAATGAATGAAGATATTATCTCTTTGCCAAAGTTTCTTTTTAACGCTTCTAAAATGTAAGAAAGTATGTTTTAAGTTCAGAGTAATGTGTAGTCTAAACTAGGGTTAGAAACTTGGTGCATAATGCAGTAGAATTTATTTGTACCTCCTTTTTGTGCTAGGTGGAATACCCCAGTGGTGAGAAGTTGCAGTACCCAGCCCTGCGCTATGTCCAGCAAGAGGCTTCTGTGGACTATTGTAACACATTGGCAGGAGTGGAAGAAAATGCTGAAAGCATCTGTAAGCTTCTGACTTCCATGAGCCTCAATGCAAAGCCTAATGGGGAAGGAAAGATCGTGGTCGATGTCCCTCCTACAAGGCAAGTACCTTACAAGAGAAATTTGCAGGGTCTGAAATCATCCATGTATATAGATTTATGAATACAATCTGTTCAGTGTTATGGTTATTTACAGCCTCTTTTTAATGAAAAACCTGTTCAGTTAACCCATTGAAATTGAATTGTCTGTAGGCTTTGGTGGGAGATAATTCCAGGAAAGTAAACTTGCATAACTAGACAGATGGAGCAGCTTATACTAGCTTCATTACGCTCTGTATGTGATTTCATTATAGATTGCAGTGAAATGATACAACAGATCTGACTTATTGTCATGCCTTGTATCTATGATCTGTGACTGTTCTGTAATTATCTTATAAATGCCTGAATTTAACCCCAGGTATGATATTCTACATGAGTGTGACGTAGCAGAGGACTTTGCTGTGGCTTATGGATTTGATAAACTGGCAGCAGACTTACGAATGCCCCCAACCAACACCATAGGCCAGGAATTTGAGCTGAACTATCTGAGTGACAAGCTAAGACTTCTTCTGTCCCAGAATAACTACACTGAAGCTGCCACATTCTCTCTCTGCTCTAAGGTGAGTTACATTCTTGGTGATCCTTTCGGACAAGAGGAACCATAGCATTCTTTCCTAGTCTCTTAGTCTATGGCCGACTTTCTTTTATCTGTCTGTGTAGGTGTTTGTCTCTTTTTCTTGATCTATTCCAGTCCCACCTTTCTTTCAGTCTCATGTTTTTTTTCTCTCACATGCTCTTTCCTTCTCAGTTGTATTTTAGAAAGTGAATAAAATATCACTTTAAAGTTTAGAGAAATGGCTCTCAATTTTTTTCTTTTTTTGAGATCAGCTACCATTTTACAACACATTTTGCTTTATACAGGAAGTTACAAGAGCTTAGTCAAAATAATTGTTAAAAAGCATTAATAAGTATTACTACTGGAAAATGTAATTCAGATGAACTTTGGTGGGATAGTGTTAGCAAAATTTTCTAATGTTATAGTACTCAATAAAAAAATATCAACAAAAAATAATTATTCAGCGTTTAAAATTCCTTCAGTAATATTTAAAAAAAAAAAATCATTTTGTCTTTTGCAGGCTGATATGGGAGAGAGGATGAGAGTCAGCCTTGAGGATAAGCCATGGGTGAGAGTTGGCAACCCAAAGACGGCTGAGTGTGAGGCAGTGCGCATGAACCTCTTGCCAGGGATTTTGAAAACTATTGCTGCTAATAAACATGTTTCCTTGCCCATTAGACTGTTTGAGGTAAATGTGAATTTGATTTGCAGTTACATATTTTTGTTCTTTTTCTTGTTCATGTAATTTTAGATGTTATTGGATCTGATTTACTGAAATAATCTCTTTCTTACTTTGTCATTGCTGGACTTTTTTATGCAATAAGCAAGCACAAAAGATTACTTACACAGTTACCTCACTGATAATTCATAGTCATAATTAATAAGAATCTCAATAATGTCTCAGGAATTATCATTAATGATTTGCATCAATGATAGTTTTTCATATCAAATATATATGTATAAAATGGTATGATTCTTAAATAAACTCTCCTTGCTACCACCAGGTGTCTGACATTGTACTCCGCAACAAATGCTCAGCAACAACCAGGGGAACTGGTGCTCGGAACCATCGTTTCCTCTGCGCAGTAAACTATAATGTCAGGGCAGGAATGGAGGTAATACAGGGTCTTCTTGACAATATTATGATCGCTCTGAAGGTCCCATTCGCTGATCAGGATAATGCTCGAGGATACACATTAGAGGGCAAAGACTGTAAGTACTGTACTTTCTCTCACTACATAACTTTTTACAGTAAGCTGGCATATAGATGAAGAGGTATTTGCACATGAATGCATATTTTCGTAGATTTGCAACATTATTTATTCTTAACCACCCTTCCTCTTTCCCCAACAGATCCAAGTTACTTCCCCGGGTTCTGTGGTGACGTGCTGATTAACGGTGTGGTTGTGGGCCAGATTGGACTTGTTCATCCAGAGGTCATTACCAACTTCAACCTCAACAACCCAGCTGCCGCTTTGGAGCTTAACCTTGAGAAAGTTTTAGAAGTCACAAACTTTGGACATTGTTAACCCCAGTTTATCATGGTATTAAAGCAAATTTGGGAACTGTACTACTTGTATTTAATGCCTTATGACCAAATAAGTTAGATGCCTTACTTTTTAAATTACGTGGATATATAAACTTCATTGTTATTTAACAGTCTAAATGTCTATATATATATATGCTACTTCTGTTTGATGTGTGACAGAGGAGTCTTGAGATGTATGTTAATTTAATGTATGTATTATTTGTGGGAAATTGTAATTATTGTCTACAAGGTCAAACCTCTTTGGAATTAACATACAAAGGCTATTTCTGTGTTGTATTATTTAAATTTCCTCGCTTTAGTTGGAGACCTTTTAAGGAGTTTCAGAATAATCATAAATCAATAACAGACAAATTATCAAACAAATATCTGGCATTTGATAAATGTCCATGTTGCTATTTACCATTGCTTAGACAGGTTTGTAGTATGCTGCTAAAGTATATTAAGATAGTAATGATGATAAAAACTATATAAAGAATAATTATGAAAATGATGATAAATGAAAATTTTACCTCACACTATACTGTTCAATCAGATCATATTGTTGAAATTGTTTAGGTTAAAAAGACATTTAGATAGTGGAAAAACATACAGAAGTAGGGAACAGTTTTAAATTGTTTAAATGGCAACTGACTGGAAAATGAATGCAAATAAAGGTACTAAGACTTTGGAGTTCTATAGACATCCAAAAAAGTTTTATGATGCTTGTCAAGCAAAAAGTATATGAATTTTAAAAAAATACCAAGAGCATGGAAACTACTTTTGAGAAACAAGAACATAATAAAACAAGCATGACAACTGATGACAAAAGATTGGATTACATCTAAGATAAATGAACTGAAACACAAAAGGTGTATTTAAGTATCAAAAATAGTTTAAAAAATAAAGTGCAGCCTAAGCTATGAAAATGAATGTTAAATGATTCTATCCCTATGACAAATAAATAAAAGCTTGAGAATCAAGACTATTGAAAAGCCTATTTCACTCAAAATTGATCTAAGACCATAAAAGCAAAATTAATGTGAATCATAACTGCAACAGCTACAAGAACATGCCCAAGCAGCAGGGGGTGCAATGTAGACCTTAGTTTTTCACTATATAATTTTTTTCCTATGCCTAGTGGTCGAGAATCAAGTACGTTTAGGTAATACTGATATAGAGGTACAGCAAAGTACTTCTGTCCAAGCTCCTCTGGTTGTCTGGATGGGGGAAGGGATGACTTGCAGGAGGGAGACTGGTCCATGTTAGATGTTTGCCGAGTCTCCTGCGATCCAGCATAATTTTGTGATCCAATAATTGGAATACATCAGGCAAGTCAAAGAGAAGAACAGGAGATTGGCAGCCCATTTGAAATTTTTTTTTGTTTACAACAGTCTCAGAAATTCTAATATCAAGCTGCTTTACTTGGGAATGATGGTGTGTTTTCTTCATGATACAAAAAATTATTATAAGGATGACAAACTTCTTGGTCATCTACATGCCACTTATTAATTGAATGCCAATAAAAAGATAAAGACTGTATATATCAAGAGGACCTACTCAAAAAGTTTTTACCCACAAATTAATCATAGTAAGTCCTCATAACTGGGAAAGGATAAAAAGAAAGCTACTTTATCATATACCTCCAGGGAAAATTAATTTGGAAAATTTTGCACCAAATTCAAAATACTTGAGAGGGGGGAGAAGACATTCCCCGAGATAAATAAGACCATACCATAAGACAGATAAGTGCTCAAACATCCTTGATAGGGAAGACATATCTTTTTAATCAGAAATTTAGATGACTGGTTATGTTTCACACTATACACTATCAACAAGGTAGGAAAATTAAGGATGAATCATTTCTATCCCTCATCAAGTTGTCTTCCTATCCTAGCAAATGAAAATATACTAGGATACTTAGACTCCTGAATGTTCTCTCACATAATTTCAGATATGCCCAACTAAGTCAGGTCATCAAATTATGTCTGCTGATATAAATTTCAAGTTGCAACTCCTTAAGGCTATTTCAGGGTAGTAATACAACCACACTATATTTGGAAATTTATATATAATCTATGTATAAAACTACTTGTATAAAACAATGATCACATGAGATTTGTAACATGAAATGATAACTGCCACAGCAAAATGTCATTCATATGTGAATTAGCTTAAATGAAGAGAGCGGACACGATGAGTAATGCTGACAGGACATGTAAGATGATTTCTACATACTGGAATAAATAAATATGTGGAGTAATACCTTTCCATTTCAACGTCTGGAGATGGTAATGTCTATATTATCTATGACAGTAAGAGTTGATTCTTAACATCATTACACCAAGGGCATTACTGTCAATGCATGTATTCACTATGTAATATGTACAAAGTCCCTGTTTCTCCTGTACACAATATCCACCTAAACATTAGGTGCTGATCTGAATTTGCCCTTCAGGTGGCAAATGAAACACTTAATTTATTAAAATCCCCAACTCTCCCTTCACAACCTACAGCCATGGATGCCAGGCTGGATCCATGCGACACAAGTTGTCCACACAGTTCACAGCACGCACCAGCTGTGTCACCTGTAAGGAACCAAAGCAATAAAATAATGAAGGCACTTAATTCATTCCTCTACCACATAAAAAATGACTATGGAAAGTATTACACTGGAAGGCAATCATATCACTAAATCTATATTCAAAACTTTTGAATTATCCTTAATGGAAATGTGAGAGTACAAAAGGAAAACCAACCTTGCTGTCGGCCCCATCACTGGATGCTAGCGACTGTATGCGAGTGGTTATGGCAGTGACTGCTTTGTTAACACGGGTAATGAGGGCTTCCCCTTCCATTGGCCCTGTACCCTGAGAGCCCTCTACGCTGGCCCCCTCCTGCCGCTGGTGCCGGAAAATGGAAGAGAACTGCTCTCAATGAAGTGATAGTCCTTGTCATGACTAGACAGGATGAATAATTTAGGAGACTAGGATTTGTAGGAAAAATTACTTATTCAGTGACTGAAGTAAATATTGTTTGTATATATGGTGAGAAGTTTCCATGTTTAGCTGCCTGATTCCAGAAGATGATGTCTACTACATATGCTGCTTTAAAATTATAATACACAAACAATATATGTTAACCCCTACGATCCGGATGATCTGACCATCACATCATGAAAACATTTGGCTTGAGGTGCAGGTGAACATGCTCTAATGCTGTTTTGAGTAATTCAGCTGAAGGCCAGGGTGACAGGAAAGACTCGCCACAAATGCACAAACCTCTCAGAAGATGATTACTCATTTGGCATTGTGGAAGGGGCTTTTGCATTTTTTCCAATAATAAAGGAGTGTGAAATGTAAGTCTTTGAGCCATGGCTGGAAGAGTGCAGGCTCCTGGGAGGATGCCTTTTCCATGCTCAGTATCATATTTGCTCCCAAAACTGGTGAAGCAAATTACATTACAGAAAATTGAATATCACAAAATTAAAAATGACAAATAACAAAATGCTACTTATTGTTATTATTCTTGCACTGAGTTATGGACAATAGCACTGCAAAGGAGAGGTATAGAGTCTTGTCACTACACACAAGCAGCGTACAAGCTGCACACCCATCAGAGCAGCCACTCACATAAGCCTAATGCCCATATTTTGGGCCATGTGATTGCCATGAAGCAACCGGATCCAAAGGGTTAAGGAGTAAAATGTTACTACTTTAACAAAAGCAGTGATACCTAAACATACCTTTGGCATCATCAATGTTGAATTTGAAGTAGGCAACATTGATAAGCCCTGAGTCCTGGTGAATGTACATCATATCAGGATACAGCTTGGTTAGGTGGAGCAGGTACTCCATAAGCCCAATTAGTGCTAGCTGGATGGTGAGCTGAAAGAAAAGAGTGAAAGAAGTGAAAGAGAGAGACACAATATGCAAAGTTGAAAGACTGGGATTACACATATCCTCACCACTTTTTTAAACTAGTATATTCCCCTGAATATTTCAAGAGTGTAAAATCAGTTGTTGCAAACTTACGATTTTTCTAAACGTCCAGTAGTGAGTGGGGTTTGGATAAGTAGTGAGAGCCCAGTCTCTGAGCATGGACCTGGGCACCATGGCGTTCTGCACTTCCTTCACTATTTCTCGTAGCACTTGATGAGAAGCCTGTGAACCTCGCGCCTGTTAACAGAAAATAATGAAGTGTGTGTGCTTAATGGCATCACTATTGATATAAATTGGAAGCTATTAATGATAGGAAATATAGACTATCTAAATTTATCAAATGATTTTGAATATGTATGGAAGACTTTCTGCAAGATGCATGAAATTATGTTTCATATTAAGTATCTGATTTTCCAAAACCAATATAATGCTTCCATAAAACAAAACAAAATAATCCATGAATACACATACCTTTGGCATCATCAATGTTGAATTTGAAGTAGGCAACATTGATAAGCCCTGAGTCCTGGTGAATGTACATCATATCAGGATACAGCTTGGTTAGGTGGAGCAGGTATTCCATAAGCCCAATTAGTGCTAGCTGGATGGTGAGCTGAAAGAAAAGAGTGAAAGAAGTGAAAGAGAGAGACACAATATGCAAAGTTGAAAGATTGGGATTACACATAGCCTCACCACTTTTTTAAACTAGCATATTCCAATGAATATTTCAAGAGTGTAAAATCAGTTGTTGCAAACTTACGATTTTTCTAAACGTCCAGTAGTGAGTGGGGTTTGGATAAGTAGTGAGAGCCCAGTCTCTGAGCATGGACCTGGGCACCATGGCGTTCTGCACTTCCTTCACTATTTCTCGTAGCACTTGATGAGAAGCCTGTGAACCTCGCGCCTGTTAACAGAAAATAATGAAGTGTGTGTGCTTAATGGCATCACTATTGATATAAATTGGAAGCTATTAATGATAGGAAATATAGACTATCTAAATTTATCAAATGATTTTGAATATGTATGGAAGACTTTCTGCAAGATGCATGAAATTGTGTTTCACATGATGAATTTATATGACAGATAGATCTAAAACTTAAAACACAAAAATAAAACTACAAATATTGCTTTATTCCTCCACTGACATCTCATGTAGACAATATTTGAAGTCTTCAAAGACACCTGCATTATGAATAAGCCATCTTTAATAAAAGTTGCTAATTAAGAAAACATAGGCCTACCTGCACAGATGCCAGCCTCTCATAATATCTTGTGACAGGTGTGTCAGGCTCCAGTTGCCTCTTCGCACACCGGAGCTTGTATATGTCAAGGAGAGAAAGAGAAGACACATTGTCCTCCACCAGTCTCATCTGTGGTGACACAGCCACCACACGACTGATGCTTAGGTTGACTAGCCTGCGACTCGTCTCCTGTTAGAAGTAAAATTTGAATTTAGAAGTGCACTAAAACAGGTAACAATACCAGACACTGCCATATAATAAATTCTATCACTTGCTATGTATTTATTACCATTCTATAATAGACACCACACTAATGATAAAAATACACATCTATCACTCACAGCAGATAAACAACATATTTTCAAAAAAACCCACACCTTACCTTTTGTTTGGCAAAGAAGTGATTTAGCATCCTCAGCAGCTGCAAGACACGTTCTTCTCGACGTGCATCACTAAGCGAGTAATCATTCACCACAAGGTAGGGATAAACTCTGCCATTGTGACCACGAATGTGGAGCCTCCTGGCAGCAGAACCGTGCTTCTGCACTATGTCCACTCTGGGCATGAACCTTGCTATCCGGATGTAGTAGTGCGAATGCTGTCAGAAATGGTAAAACTCTCATTAAGTCTACATAAATAACTGTACAAAAATAATATAGATGAATTGCCCAAGCATCAGCTCTTATCAGCAAAACATCATTGGGAGCTCTACCTGTCTTTTTTTTTCCGTAACAGAAATTGCAAATATGCAATGGACGAGGGAGCTCACCTACACGTCAATTTTCATAATCATTTGCTTGATTATTGTAAGACCATCTTGTTCCAATATTATGTTTCATATTAAGTATCTGATTTTCCAAAACCAATATAATGCTTCCATAAAACAAAACAAAATAATCCATGAATACACATACCTTTGGCAATAAGAACTCTCCTGGTAATTCAACCTCTGCTGTTTGAAGACTGAAATTGCTCAAGTAACGACACTTTTCTTCAATAAGGAACCACCTGCAACGTGAAAAGTTGATACTATAAAATACACACTTAATTCATCTGGAAATTAACTGGAAATGAAGTCTGTTTCTTCTAACTGTGCAAGTGACTTACAAAAACACCACCATTTTCTTATAAAAATAGCATATACTATAAACTTCATTGCCACAGCCTCAAACTCTTATACATGAACAAAACTTCATATCATGGTTCTTATTACTTCCTTTTCTCTAATACTATTCTTATAACAATTTCCAATTTATGATTCTTCAAGACTTTCAACATGTTATCTTACTTAAAAATAAAATAATCATTCCAACTAAAACCACAAATCATTTTTTCCTATATCCAACACCTGCAAAACACAACTCTACATTCACATCAAGTGTCACAGCCCCCCTCTTCCTCCAGCCACACCATGACTCACTTGGGCAGCAGCTTCACCCTGGCCTCCAAGATCTTGATCCATTTCTTGAGCTTGTGTATAAGGTTGTGCAGCTTCATGGAGCCCAGCTGTGAGAAGTCAAAGTCAGTGGTGAACTGGCCTTTCATCTTGTGGAACACTGGGTCTTGGACTGTTGCCTGGGCACGTCTGGCCAAGGACTCAGACGCCGCACTGCCATACTGCCCTCCACCACTCACTGAGCTGCTGATATTTTCTGCAAAATTCATGAACTGGTGAGACCTCTTTGGTAAACTGCTTGCCTAAGAAATGAAATTATACAAGACAACATCCTCTTCAACCACCAACCTACATAAGAACTTGATGGCTGCAAAAAGAAAAATATTAATCTAAACAAGAACAGTGAATATTTCACTACATACCAATACCAATTCCAAAGGTTGAAACAAGTTTCTTCACAAAAGAGAGGGTGTGTGGTGTAATATTGGCCTCTGAGACAGCTGCTGAATTTTCAAAAGCAACTGCATAACACTTTGCAAGTGCTTGGCGGAGTTGTCGTAACACTACCTCATCCCAGTACTCTCGGAAACACACCATCTGGGGAATAAAATATTCTTATTAACATTTTTTAGTCAAACAAACATAAAATGTATAGCATGAGCATTGCATGATAACTATAAGAAATGTATACCATTTGACTACTGCAGAGCTTGAAACTAAAGCTAATATTTACTTGTATTAGTTAAAATGACAATTACCTTCATATTCTTACTGCTTTTATTTCAATACATAGAGGTTCAATACAGGAAAAATAAAAATCAAACTAACCCTTGACTATAAGTTACACCTGAAAACTACAAGTCAGCAAAACCTGAATATCAGGAATTCCCAGATCCTCACCTGATCCACAATGCCCTCTAGAGACGCCAGGACCGTTGGATGGAGTTCCTTTTGCATGTGCATGATGCGTGAACACCTCCACATTGGCTCTGTCGCCTTGATAGATCCTGCAGTTTCTGTGGCCTGCTGCTGCCCACTTTGCTGTCCCTGCTGTGCTTGCTGCTGCGTGGATGCTTGGCCTTGCCCTTGTTGCTGTGCCTGGCTGCCTTGCTGGGCCTTCTGTGCAGTCGCAGCTGAGGGATCCACTAAGAGCAAGTGAATAATTTTGTTAGTGTATCATTCATACTATCTACACATACACTCGCACAAACAAGACCTCTTGTCTTTAGAACGTAATGTGCTTTCAGGATCCATACGCACTTTTCCAAATCGCAGTTCCACAAACATTCGATGTCTAACATCAAACCTCATGCAGATTTAAAACCAGCAATGGCTCAAGATTTGAATGCAACTATAAATCTATATACTTCTGGACATATCCAAAATTATTCCTTTGGACTTATAAAAATAAAAGAAACAAAAATATTATTCTCAAAGCAATTCAAATCTTAAGGATATATACCTATCTGACATAATGCATCTTTCCATCAAAAAGAAAATATATTCACTACTTTCATTAATTCAAGCACCATTCAAAATACAATTAAAATATATCTGAGACCGACCAAACCACTTACCACTTTTGATACGCCCTCTCTGTTCAATCTTGAGCGTAAGGTAAAGGGTACGAATGGGGAAGTACACAGCCTGTGGGAACATCCTACCCACTTGGTTCAGGAGGTTGATGATTACCTGTACAACACACAAAAAAGTTGTGTTAGAATAATACACTATATTCATATCATAATAAACATTCCATATTATTTCTTTTAAATATGAATGCACTCATATGCACACAAAAAATAGAGAGGTATGATGAATCACAACTTTTCAAAAAAAGTTGAAGATGCAGAAAGAAAAAATTACCTCAAATACTCAAAGAAAAAAAAAATGAATATCCTTGAAACCAACAGTAAGAAAACAAATCTGCCCTACCTTGCCCTCAGGCCGCACCAGGCAGGTGAGGAGCTGTGGTATCCATGGTAACCACTGTATGGGAGGAACCCCAATGCAATAGCGATCAACAGCATCACTCAGACTTCCCGCCTCATCGTCATAGCTTAACAGCCACAGCACCTGAAACAAGTGATGGGAAAATTGAAGAACGACATTATCATGTATGGTCTATTCACTCATCAACTTACTAGCTGTCTATTCACACTCATCAACTTACTAGCTCATCTAACTTGGTATACTATTTCTTTAACTCAACAACCAAGCCATCCCTGTCTCTTGCCAAATACACTGGAGTAAAAGTATGAACATGGAAAGGAGGGACAGAGAAAGAGATGATGAAAAAAGAAAGCGACAACAAGAGACAGATAGACAGAGAGAGATAAAACAAAAGAAACACTATCCCCCCCCCACACAAACACTGCACAGCCTTCCCCTCCCACCTTGGCAAGATATTTTCGAGATTTGGACTCATTCTGGTGCCGAGATGCATGTAGGTAGCAGGTGATGGCAGAGACCCCGAGGTTGATGTGTGTGGGGTCGCGGGTGAAGAGGGCTTCCAGGTAATCCCCCCAAAGAGCCCAGGCTTTGACAAGGGTGTCATGCAGCTGTACTGCTGCACTCAGGGCTTTGTTTGCTTCTTCACTTCGACCTGAAAACAAAATTGAAATAAAATTCTAAAATAGGTTTATTCTTTAAAGACATTTACATTTCACATTTTCAAAACAAAAACAAGAGCCAAATATGCACACAAACTTACCCAGCTGTGCCAAAAACATGCCCTTCAATGCATAGAATTCTGCTGTCATGTCTTTGTTGAAGAATTTTAGGTTTGTTGATTCAATCACTTCCAGACCCTGGTGAACAGAAAAAAAGTTGAATATGTAAATCTCCACAAATAAACATAAAAATATAAATATCCAAATATATATATTATATGTCAATGTATACAGTATAGGGAATAACACCTCTCCACATCTACACAAACTCACAGTAACACAAACATAAATGAAAATGCCAATCTATCTGTTTACATTACACATATTTCTCAGTCTAAAGTCCATGAAAAGCTACAAAAAGGAAAACAGACAACAACTGAAATCCTGTAAAAATAAAAGCAAAGGTTTGAGAAGACAGTGCTACTGACCCCTTGCAGCTCGTTCTTGCCCATTCCCGTTGCAGTGGCCATCTGGTGGTAGCACTTGACCTGCTGCCGGATCTTCTGGAAGCAGTCCACCACTGGCACGGAGGGGATTGTGTGGATCCGTGACAGGGACTCAAAGCACACGTTACTTAGATTGTGCTTCCGTGCAATCTTGCCGAAGTGGATGATTGCTTGTGCTGAGGCATGGACACCTAGCATGCTCTGGAAAAATTTCGAGTTGATGATGAAAAAGGATATGGTTGTTACAAATCATAAATCTGTACCTGCATAATCAAATAAATTATATCTATTTTAAAAATACACAAACCTAATATATACTAAAAGCAAAATAAATAAACAAAGAAAAGGAAATGAGACTGCTAAAAATAAAAAAGAATAACTAGACAAACAATATATAAGAAAGTTGGTACTACCAATACACACCTGATTTTCACTAGAGTCATTATAATGATTGACAATGAACTGATAATGATGCTGTCGCCAGGTGAAGATGTCAGACCAATGGGAGAGGTCATCAGCAATGACAGGCAACCGATTGCGCCATGTCTTGACAATGGCCTTCATGTCATGGAGAGAATTTGTACGACCATGGACAAGGCCTTGGTGGATCTGGCAGGCCTCTTGCAGTTCCATTACCTGTGTTAACAGTAAAGCATTCATTGGTGATATTTTCTTATGGAAAGCAGGCTAGAGTAGTTTAAATTTAAATACAAATATGATGTGTTTTCAGTCTTAATATTCAACAGAATTAATGATGAATATCCTTGGTTATCTAACAGTTTACCAAAAAGAAAAAAAAAGATACAACTTTTTTTTTTAAGATGAACTTATCATAATGCAATAACATTATCTGAAGCAAATAAACCAATGTCAAAGACAGTAACAAGACTTTTAGTAGCCTCATCACAATATTAGTCACAACATACTATACAACAGCTCATAATATCACATTATACTACACATCATTATCATTACCTGTTGAGCAGCTTGTAGGTATGGTAAGTGGATGTGTGACACAATATGTGGAAGCCTCTTCCACTCCCTGATGCAGAGAACAGTTGCTGCCTCCACCAGCTTCTCTACCAGCTTGAGATGTTCCTCCTCTGGGTGGCAGATGGCCAGGTAGCCACGGTACAAGTTAACCTGTTAGGGTATATAAAAAGTCTTAATCCATTCCAGCAGAGTATATTTATATTTTGCTGTATGGTTGGCAAGTAAAAATTCATCTGAAAGATTCATTACCAACTTTCAGCCAAAGCAGAAGATATCTGAACCCACTGATGCCAGGATAGGATCAATGTCCAGTGGTATTTTAGTTTAATAATTTTGATTCCACATAGAGGGCTCCACAAGTGCTTAGTCATCAAGGAGTTCACTACTAGTCCTACCTATCTCACCTTGATACCCTTTTTCTTGATTTCTGAAGGGTTATTTATCTATATTGCTATTACTATTGTTAGTATCTTCATAAAAATAATATCAAAAGCATTAGAAAAAAACATTTTCCTAAGATCTGAAGGAAAGGGGGAAATCATGTAAAGTCATGTAGGCCTACTAATTGGCTCCTTGGTTGCTGAGCACTTGTGGAAATCATCTAAGTGCAAACAAGATTACCAAAAACTGTAGTGGACAGTACATGTACCCAGAAGCAATGGATTAAAATAATGACATGCTTTAGTAAAATTCAAATTTAAAAGAACAACGTGCTATTTATAAAAGTAATATCAAACGAACAAAGATGAAGTTCCCTTTTAATATCATGGCACAGGCATACTTAGAAATGCCCAATCATTAAAACTTTTAAAAAAATAAAAAATAGAATTAAACTAATTAAAAGAACAACTCTCAAATAAAATATGCAGTTTCATCACATACCTTCCAGGCTAACTCCTTAGGATACGACTGCTCTACATGGGCCAATGCCTCTTTCATGCGTGCCCAGTTAGGGACCCTCCACGCACTCTCGAGGACCAGCAAAGCATTCCCCGATGCTTCACTGCTGCCATACTCTTGCACTAAGTCCCACTGGTTCAGCTCCTTTGCACATCTTCACAAAAGGATAATAAGCAATTAGAAAAAAAAGAAAAAAAAAAAAGGTTAATTCTAAGAAATATAAATAAAAAGTGGTCACATCAACACCTCACACTTGGTATCTACAAGATTTTTATGACAGTTCCTCTATACTGTTCATACTAAATCAATTGAACCTCCTTGTATACATCAGTCCCTTCACCTTAGCTCATAATCACTTTATAAAAATGTTGAACTAGATCTGTTCCTTGTATAGGACTTCATCTCACTATTTCACACTTATAACTTTTGCTTTAACCCCTTGCCGCCGGGTGACGGCGATACGCGTGTAAACAAATCGCTCGAAAGGTGGCGTGCGGCCAAACCAGCCGGCGGCGCGCCAAAGCGCGGCGAGCCAGTGATTCGGGCTGACGCCCCGTACTCCTGCGCTCAAAGTCGGCGCGCTGCCTTTGTTTGCCAGAGCGTAGAGTTTTATTTTCCTTTAGTACACCCGGCGTCATTGGGTTAATTTTTGTTTTATATTTCCACATGTACTTTACTCTCCTTTAACATATGTAACATAACTATTTACCTTATCCATCGATCCTCCCAAAGCTTCATCTCCGACTGCAGTTTGACTGGGGCCGGTCTAACTGCCATGTCTGTTCGGGCCTTTGTCATGGCCAATTCATATGCTGCCTGTGCTTGTTCTAAGAACCCATGTTGTTCAAAGGTCACAGCCTAAAAAAAGTCAATCTTTTTATTTAGATATCAATGGTCATAATTACAATGCTGTAATCATTTATTTCACATATTCAACGAGACAGAAAAAGCACATCACGAAAACACTTCCTCCATAAACTGCTGCATAATGAAAACTTGGTTCACCCTCACACTCACCAGTCTTGTCTCGTGATAGTGGGCTACTGTCTGCCACAGTCCAGCCCAAAGGTCCTCTTCTTTCAACAGGGAATACATCTCTGAGAGAGAGTCTAGTATCTCCTGAAAAGAAGAAATATCAATAAAAACAAATCCTGAACCTGAATAGCACAATGCTTTCCCTCAAATCTCAATATATGCATGATTCTCTGAAAGTAAACTGCAGGGTCTTTGAAAGCACATATTTTGATATTTGCTACAAAAATCACACTATAGGCAAATGAATCCCTAATCAAAAATATATATTACATCAAAAATGGTGCCAGCATGATCTGCGTTCCTAGGCCATTATCAATACACAATCCAAACAATGCTTTTCCAGATATAACTAAAAACAGGTAACTAGCTGACCTAAAACCAGGTACCTAATGGTACAGACTAGTTCTGCATGCTCACCTGTTGGGGATTCGTGACAGGCTCCATGTCATAGGAGTCATACAGGTCCTTCTTAGTAGACCTGGGAGTAGTCATGGCACCCTGTTCCAAAGCAGCCTGCTCCAGGAGAAGGGTCATGCGGTGCCAAAGGTTGTGGCTCTTCCCTAGGTACTTCATTATTGCTGGTCTGATGGGCACTGGTGGTTGGCACTGTGCCAGGGCCTCTGTGAAGGTGTGGAGGGCTGAGGGATGGCAGTCTTTCTGGATGACATGTGATCCAGAACAGAGGAATGGAATCACCTCGCTTGCAATACCCTGAAATATCAAAGAAAAATGAGGAAATCCACCATCTTTAAAATCTAATTCTTATGAGTAACATACATTATATGAACAACTTATTTCAATATATGGATATGGAAGGGCAGATAAAGGATTTTTTTTTTTTTCTTATTCTTATTGCCAGTTCTACTGTATACCTCCTGGGCTTCATAGTTATACAAATCATTCTAATGATTAGCAAAAATTCACATAAAACAATTATACATAAATATAAAAAAAGTATCCAATGAAATTTTAACCTAAAAACAAAGAAAATAAACCCCAGCACATTCTACACATATTGAAACTTAATATATGGAAAGCTGACTGGAGAGTTCATAATTATCTGAACCACAAATTGCATTTCATTTATCAAAATGTTCTAATCATTTACAAAGTGTCACTGCATGTAGGATAGCTAATGAAAATAAACTAAAATCAATCAACAAATAAATAAGTATAAATATATATATACCCAAACATATATGTAATCATATCAACCAGACAAGGAAAAAAACTGCCACACAGCTCCAAAACAAGACCAAACAGCCAAAGAGAAAAAAAAATAAATACAAACACAAGCACCCTCTGAAATGAGGATCCAAACTCAAGGCAACTAAACTAACCTGCTGCTGTTTCTCGCTGAGGATCTTCCAAATGCGGGGGAAGAACTGCAGCCACACCCATTCAGCCAGGTTGGTGTCCATGTGGCACAGCTGCGACACCGCCGACAGGAACTGCCACGTCGTCACTTCCTTGACACTCTCCATAAACTTTGACTGGGGGGAGAGGCAGTGTTATTGAGTGAAAACAAAGTAAAGGCTCCTAAAATTAACTGATCAATAGTGAAGACAAAAAAACATGGTTGAAGATGAAAGAAATAATAATGAAGTTGAATATAATGGAATTTTAATAAATCAAATTTACAGGAACTGCAATTACATTAAAACAAGACAGACTGGAATACAAAAGGAGGTGAAACTACCTGAAAATACAATATGAATATTGAAACTAATAAATCCCCCCATTACCTACTAAAAATTATTACAATAAAAATGAGGGAGAGATAATAAATCAGACTGAGACAGGTAACAAAACAACAATGGCACTTACCTGTCTTGACAACAACAGGTGCAAATTGGCCTTAGGATTGGCCTGACTCTTCACATTCCCATCAATAGACTGAGCACCGTCTGCAGGGACTGATGATAGTTCGATGTCTATCTCATCCTGTACACACATATTCTACATTAGGCAAGGAATATACTGTGTAAAACAGACACAGGAGTACACTAAGTCAATTCATAAACCCTTAAACACAAAATGAGCTGACTGGGCTCATAAACTTTGCTACAGACATATTTGACCTATACATTACCTAGTTGGTAATACAGCAAACATACCAAAGCACTTCTTAACCCATTACCAACAGGTCACGTGTCATAATATACCACTTGGTCTGCTGGGCACGGCAGTATGCGTGGTGACACGCCAGAGCACACAGAGCAGAAAGTTCCGCTACATGTAGCAGACTCCTACGCCCAGTGTCTGGGCATTACCAGAATTGACACTCAAGAGATTTCTGATACCCGTCGGCAGAGGGTTAAAGACCTTCCAGCCTTGCAGAGCCAATGTATCAAAGTATTTATTATGCATCACTGTCCATTCTCTTCAACAATGTCAACTATAATAACTAACATTCTATCACAGTTTACTGTAAATGCATATCTGATACACAAAAATGCAATGATATACATACATATCAACACGTACCCATGCACACACAGACACACACACACTTGTACAAAAAGCAATAGGAATGCAAGTGCAATTCCAGATTCTCAACTTGTATTGTTAGTCTTGCAAATTCTGTCCATCTATTAACTTTATCAATATGAACAACTTTATCACTCCCTATAGTAAACCACCGCTGGTTTCCAAGTGGATTTTTTTTTCTTGTTATACATTATACTGACCTCTTGCCCGTTTACTCCAAATAAAAAAAAGAAATCAACAATAAGTCTACTCTTTTAAATGATATTCACTCAAGTTCACTGTAAAGCTATCATGAAAACTGTGAGAAACACCAAGGGAAGCATAACAGGTAATTTTTCTATAACTTATAACAGGCTTATACACAATCAGGATATTTGAGAAACAGGTTGTTTATGTCTTCAAATATTAAAGTGGACTACTATGTGGACACCTCTTACCATGCTTTTACTTCGTGCTACATAAACTAGAAGCAAATCTACTTTGAAGAGAATGAAGATTTACTGAAAGTTGCTCCACTAACATGGGATCTCTGCTTCTACATTCAGTATAAATATTTCTTAGTAAATAATGAATATAAAGAGCTAGTTGGTCTATATTTTGGATAATAATGCAAGACCACTAATTAAGAATTAACATGAATGAAACAATAAATCAATCTACCATGCAAATAAAATCCATCAAAAGTAAAACCAATAGAAAAATTGTACAAGATACACAGTACAGAATTTTAGTGCTAAAGAAGCATGATCATATGTCGTAAAAATATATATATACATAAATATGTATTTACATTTTAATACATACATATTATAAATATATATATATATATATATATATATATATATATATATATATATATATATATATATATATATATATAATATACATACATATTCATATACACACATATACATACATATACATACATATGTACATGTCATGTGTATGTATGTGTATATATATACACTATATATATATGCAAAGAAATATATAATACATATATCAAAATATACATATATATACATACACATACATAAATACATATGTATGAATATATATGTATGTATATATGTATACTTATATACTTATATACATATATACTTATTTACATATATACATATAAATGTATATATGCATTATATATATAGACATATATGTATGTATAGGCATTCATATACATAGTCATATATACATAGACACACATACAAAGATTATGCAATACATATACATACATATACATATATATATATATAACATATATATATATATAACATATATATATATATATATATATATATACTATATATATATATATGCAAAGAAATATATAATACATATATCAAAATATACATATATATATATATACATATATATATATATATAGATATATATATATATACTATATATATATATATAGATATATATATATATAACATATATATATATATACATATATATATATATATATATAATATATATACATATAAATGTATATATGCATTATATATATAGACATATATGTATGTATAGGCATTCATATACATAGTCATATATACATAGACACACATACAAAGATTATACATATACTCATAGACATAGACATATATATATATATATAACATATATATATATATATATATATTATATATATATATAGATATATATATATATAATATATATATATATATTATATATATATATATCTATATATATATATATATATATTATATATATATAAATATATATACATATATATACATACATATACATATATATACATGAGAGCACAATAATATATATATATACATTATACATTATATATATATATATATATATATATATATATATATATATATATATATATATATATATATATATATATATATATATGCACACACACACACACTCACACAACACATCATCCATAACACAGCCTCATCTGAAGGTGGTCATTTTTTTCAGATGATCAAAATTGTTAGAAGTAAAAAAACTTGCTCAATCACAAGGCAGATCATTAGACTTCCACCAAAGGCATGCTTGACACATTTATTCAAGGCACGGAAATTACAATCAATATTAACCTTCTGACCCTCTTTCTAATCCAACATTCAAGACCACCAACCAGTCTTTCATTGTTAAACTCCTCCTGGCTTTCTTTAGTACACTGTCTTTCCATGTCATAAAGCATACTAAAAATCATCAACTTCCACAGACATACATTTTATATTCAAACGTGAGTTCATACTCTTTCTTCAATCTTCAAGTGTCATAATAGTCTCCCCTCTACCTTAAATCTCTTGCAGGACTTACCACACACTCATCATTACCTTTCAACGCAACCATAAAAAAGAAATGCATCCCCTAAAATCCAGCAAAACAAAGTCAACAAGTCATTCAACTATTCAGCCGTGTGCCTGGTTAGTAAGGTGACACTGCAACAGAAAAAAGGAAGCAGAATTAAAAGTATCAAAATAAACCAATCCAAAAACTAATGAGCTGCTCCTTATACTTCGGTCAGACAGGCACTCCTGATTTATGCAACACACCTCGAGTGGCAGCGTGACAGACTGGGTCTTTACCTCCTTATCTACAGAGGAATCTAGGGCCTGATCAAGGTCAGACGCCTCCTCCTTTATGCTGGCAAAGACCGAGAAGTTGGCTCTCTCAGCTGCATCTGCCCAGTTAATCACAGCTGTTACTCCTGGCAGAAGCACCTGTTGTGACGAGTTCTGGATCTGTGTACCTGTAAGATGAATAAAATACTACATAAGACAAAAGACTATCAATAATGAAGAGCAATATCATTCCAATATCCTACTGTGTACAATGATGCTTGAAAAAAAATTATCTTAGGATTCATGATAGACCTAAGACAGAGTTGAAAGTCCCAATCTCTCGTAATGAAAAAACAGTATTCAGTTTCATCAGAGGTTTCCAAGCCAATATTCCAGCTATTAACCCACTCATGACAAAATCTCCCAGCACCATATTCAACCACATACCAGGAGACACATGGAGTCAAGCTTCTTGAGGGAAATATTAGATGTATAGAAAACATAAATCTATCTTACTCTTTATGCTCTTGGCTGCAACACAAACAACTGTTTAGGTAATGAGGCTAAAAAGAAACTTTGATGGAACAGACAGTTAACAAAAACATACATATAACTTTCACATGGAAAGTCATATAAGTTTTTTTTACAGATTTTACCTCATAAGAAACCAAAATACTCTCAGACTTTTGAAAAATATTCAGAATTGGATAAATGATATCAATATTTAAGGGTCTGAATGTCCTTGAGCCTGTCTTGTTTAGAAGGTACTGCCAGCTGTGCCCTCAGGTGGAACTAGCCAGGAAGGCATGAAAATAACCCTCTGAAGACAAGAGCCCTTGCCTGATATTACTAATATTTACATATTGGTAAATTGTGAGTAGCCATTGTTTTTCTGGATGCAAAAGTAGACAAACAAAATTTTATGATTTATCACATTTTTTGTACATATGAAATCAGCTTTGTTAGCATTTTTACTATTCAATATTAACACACTGTTTTGTAACTTGAAACATATACAGGGTAAAAAAGGCTATGGAATCCTTGACCACAGGCACAAGCTTTGAAGTTATAAGCCAATCAGTCTAATCTGTTGCAGAGACTGACAAGTAAAGAAAACAGGGTTAAACTGGAATATTGCAATGGAGGGAATCTTGGTTAACCAAATGGCGCCGGGTGTACAAAACGAAAAAAAAACTCTGCGCTCTAGCAAACAAAGGCGGCATGACGACTTTGAGCACGTGAGTAGGGGACATAAGCCTGAATCACTGACTCGCCATGCTTTGGCGCGCCGCCGCGGCGTACAGCCGCACGCCAGCTTTCAAGCAGTTTGTTTTCACGCCGATTGGCATCACCCGGCGTTAAGGGGTTAAGGGGGGATTTCAATCTATTATTTATAAGTTCTGCCTTTTCAATGGAAGCATATAATCATTGGCTATTTGTTTCTTCCCAAATCTAGGGCTCATATTTTTGTTAAGTTTTAGTCAGTGGGTCAATACAATACAACTCAAATTTCATTTGAGGAAAGAGTATCACCATGACACATAAGATCATAACAAGAAACAGTCCGATATATGTATTATATTTTACCTATTAAATGATGCATTTAACTCCTATCCTATCATTCTGGTAAAACATCATCAAATTCACATTGAAAATAAGTGGACATCATCATCAACAGCCAGAGAACAAGGGAACACAAGAGCAACTCACTCTGCTGAGCTGTAACAAGGAGAAGTTGAATGCACTGTTTGATCCAGTAGTGTGGTCCCATGTGGTCCCAGTTTTGAGAACAGATGATGTACAGCAGCCGATCACTCAAGCGGGATCTCATGCTCTCATGGAACACCTAGTAATGTGAAATGCTTTTGTTAAATGCATGGAAAATATCGTACCTCAGAATTATTAAGGTAATCAAAACGACTAATACCAATTAGGAATACTTTCTTTACTTATACTTTTAGGCATCAAAGAAAATTCATACTGGGGTACTGTAGTAACACAAATGCAAAAGTAATGCTCTCACAATGATATTTAGACAGGGCAGATAGTACAATATTAACTAGTAATATACCTTACCTGGAAAAATTTGGCTCTAATGGGAGGCTGTGTGCACCGTAAACCAGCCAAGAAGGCAGGCTCAAGTTTCGCAGTGAGTTCTGTATTCCTCAGCGTCTCATCACGGTAAACGTGATTGACCAACTCCAGGAACTGAGCCATTAGTTCTGTATCCTCTGAGAATCTTTTTTCAACATACTGCATGAGTTTTACCAAGAGTATGGACTTCTCACGCAAACTTGGACCTTGATTGATGGCAATTGGAGTTTTGTTTTTGACCCATTCTTCCACCATCTGCAAGAAAATATTAATGTTGCCCAAATTAACAGAGATTGACATTTTTCATGATTATATGTTTAAAGCCACCATTATCAACACTAAATACTAAATCATAAAACACATAATATGAATCACTGTTAGTAAAAATAACAAAAATAAACAAAACAAATTTGCCAGCTATTCAATATTAATAGCTATACATTTCTGGTTTCGTAAATGAGTCATACCTTGGTGATAGCCTTCATGACCTTGACATCAGGAGTCTTCTCAATGAGGCCGACTAAAATGGTGCCAATAAAAGCCTTGCCCATGTCCACGCCCATCACTCCCACACGGTTCTTCACCAAGTCAAGAGACAGGATCAAAAGTTCACTACCCACTGCAAATTTAGCAGAGAAATATAATATTAATTCCTAGGTGGTACAACTGAAATATACAATGTTCATTAACTTTGCAAAAGAATTGCTTTTAGCTCAAGTGATAAAGATAATAAACAACAATAACTTTTGACCCATTCTTCCACCATCTGCAAGAAAATATTAATGTTGCCCAAATTAACAAAGATTGACATTTTTCATGATTATATGTTTAAAGCCACCATTATCAACACTAAATACTAAATCATAAAACACAAAATATAAATCACTGTTAGAAAAAATAACAAAAATAAACAAAACAAAATTTGCAGGCTATTCAATATTAATAGCTATACATTTCTGGTTTGGTAAATGAGTCATACCTTGGTGATAGCCTTCATGACCTTGACATCAGGAGTCTTCTCAATGAGGCCGACTAAAATGGTGCCAATAAAAGCCTTGCCCATATCCACGCCCATCACTCCCACACGGTTCTTCACCAAGTCAAGAGACAGGATCAAAAGTTCACTACCCACTGCAAATTTAGAAGAGAAATATAATATTAATTCCTAGGTGGTACAACTGAAATATACAATGTTCATTAACTTTGCAAAAGAATTGCTTTTAGCTCAAGTAATAAAGAAAATAAACAACAATAATTGCAGCATATATGTTACAAAAATATTTACTTAAAAACACAAACAGCATAGTTCATATTATATAATCGAACTTGGGGCACTTTACCTGTGCTGTTATCCGTGGAAGGATGGTTGAGATGGTCTCTTGCCATCCTCTGCAAGACCTTCATGAAGGGCATAATGAGGCGATCAATGTAGCATGGATTGTTCTGGCATGCTGCTTTCAGGATCATCAGTGTGCCAAAGAGTGATGTAGGAGAAGCATTGGCATTTTTCTCATACGACGTCAGACCTTCGAAGACAATCTTGGCAATTCTGGAATACAGATCTTCCAGCTCTTCAAAGCGGGAAGCCACAGTGGCAGATGTTGGCTCGGTGGGAAATGTGGACATGAGCCTGGCCAGCAGCGTGTGCGTTAGACGGACAACACGAGAGTTACTACAGGCCATACACGCCACCAATCCTCTTGTCAAGCCTCTCATTGCTCCCAGGATCTGTTCACGCCTCAAAGTCCCAATGAGGTATGTCAGAACTTCCAAGCCAACACAAACGTTTGCCAGGTTTGGCTGTGTTGACTCCAAATTGAGGAAAAGTTTGTCCAGCCATGCCAACTTGGGGTCAGCATGTGGCCACATGTCTGGTTTGAGGGCTCGCTTCAGCAGTGCCACACAGCGCCTAGACAGTGCTTCACCAGGAGCTACAGTTCCAGGTGTGGTTGTGCTCTCATTTACCTGACATGCCAGTCTTAGCAAAAAGTAAACAACAGCATCGGCATGTGCTTTTTCCATGGGTTTTGTGGCATCAATACTTCCCCGGGAACTTGCTCCTACAGATACTCTTGCCCTCTTTGCCTCGGGGCCATCAGTCGATGAGGAGCGCTTTATGCCACCTGGTTGGTGAAGTTGCTGGGCTAATTCACTGCCACCATCAGCATCTGTCTCCTCTCTTACTCTTTCTTCTTCCCATTTAATACATACCTGAAATATTGTGAAAATTATAATATCTATATATATACTCTTATAGCCTGATATGCCAATAGCTGTCATGATAAACCAACTTAACAAGACAGGTACAATTATAGGCGTCATGACTCTCTCCTGCGAGTTGAGTGGGAAGGGCCGCTGGATACAGCAAACCACTCTGCAGATAGGCTACATGGTTGCCAGAAGTCACCAGAATGAATGACAAAGAAAATTTCTGGTATCATCATGTATGTATATATGTATGTATGTATGTATGTATGTATGTATGTATGTATGTATGTATGTATGTATGTATGTATGTATGTATGTATGTATGTATATATGTATGTATATATGTATTATATATGTATTATATATGTATGTATGTGTGTGTATATATGTTTGTATATGTATGCATGTATGTGTATGTCTGTATATGTATGTATATATGTATATATGTATGTATGTATGTATGTATGTATGTATGTATGTATGTATGTATGTATGTATGTATGTATGTATGTATGTATGTGTATATATTTGTATACATGTCTATATATATGTTTATATGTCAATTAGAAGTCTTGACTTTGTGAGAAATAAAATAAGAGAAAAGAAATATATGTATACTTTCTAAGTATCTAAAATGCAAATCAATCAAACCTCAGCTAAATCAACAGCAAGTCTCCTTTGGTCCAAGTTTGCTGTGGGCGTGAACCCTAGGCGATGCATGGCCTGCGTAATGTGGTGAGTGAGGTGGTGTCGCACAGGGTAGTACACAGTGGCATGTCGGACCACCAGCTGCAGGATGTGAACCAGCTGTCCTACAGAGTGACCCTCTTCCACGAGGATTTTGCGGGTCCAGTGAGTCAGCATTGTGTTACCTGCAATACAAGTAAAAGCTCATATTCATTAATAATGAATGAGAATATGAATGTATCACTTGGCGATCATCTTTGCGCTTTAGTTTGTTGCATTCAACTGACAAGTTGTTTGGAAATCCCAGTCTATTAGCAATTACTTAGATTCACTATATTATCCATATCAGAGCATGAAATACATATATAACACAAAACTAAACAAACATGAATTAATCAGTAGTATCACTATCTCATGAATATTTGATAATATCTAATCAACAATATTACTATCTCAAGAAAAAACAAAACAAGGAAAGACAAACTAAGGAGTTTTAAAGCAGAATGTTCAAAAAACATCATGACTTATGAATGTGGAATTACTAATATCTGAGGTTCATAATGATATAGAACTATAATAGGTCACACTGCCATGGTCATGAAACATATAATATTACTACAAAAGAAATATGCAACATACGGTCAATGCTGCATACCTGAATCAACTGAGGTATCACCCAATGTTCTTTACACTACAGTACAAAGCAAGAAAGTTGCAAAAAGGGAGGGAACACGGGAAGAAAAGACAATGCATCTACATTTGGGGGAATTAGTTATCAACTGTATGTGGTGCACCCTAATACACACAAACACACACATACAAACATACCCACACCAACAAACACAGAGGCACAGAGTATATATAAAATGGAAAAAAAAAAAAAATGGACACCGATAGTTCTACTCAGGAACAGCAATTACCATAAATCACTTCCCCCCTTAAACCCTTATGACAATAAGTAATTGCACTGTTTTCTAAATGAAGGAATATATATATATAAATTCAGGCAAGACCACTTTAAGAGCCAGTCAGAAACAATCTACATGCAAAAAGATATATAATAAACATAATGAAACACCCTCTCCCCCTAAGAGACAGAAAAGTTATAAAACAGGAAGGTTTGGCATCATGAGAAGAAGCCATCTGATGGTACAATTCTCATGCACTGCTTAGATTATTTGATACAAGAACTGCTTTTAGCTCAACCTGTCTTTAGATGCCAAAGGAATTCTCAGCACTCAAAATGTTATTTGCACAGAATTCATACAATAAAGAGACCCTAAGTGAAAGGAGTAATTTCTGTTTAATCCATTACCACCAGGTACATGTACTGTACACTGTGGTTTTGTTTTGTAAATTTTCTTTAAACAAAGATGGCTCCACCAAGGAGTCAATAAGTAGGCCCTTCATGACCTTACTTGGTTTCCCCATTCTTTGTATTTTTTTCCCCAAAACAACTAATTTGAAAGCAATTATTATTGTTCATATTGTCACTATCGATAAATAATAACACTTTTTTTTTCTAAGAAAAGGGTAAACAGTTGAGACATTAATCAACTCTGGTGACTAAGCTTCCCTGGAGCCATCCATCTGTAAACAAAATTTGCAAACAAAAATCACAGTGGACTTGGCATGTATGTACTTCCCATCCTTATGTCATTGGGTTAATATGCATTTATATCTCATGTGCAGCTTATTATGAAAATCAACACAAACTGCATATCTAAGAGTTTGCATTCATACTAAATATCCAAAATCAGGAAACAATAAAGAATAGAGTTGTTTTTTTTCTGCTGTTACCAATGCAAACTCTGAACATAAAATCTTCCAAGAACTTGTAAATTAAGCACTTATATTACTCTCCCATTTCCTCCTCTCCTTTACTTCCTCCTTCCTCCTCCATAGCTTACTGTTTACACTTTATTTACTTGATCCTACCACTCTTTCCTTCCTCTCCATTTCTATCATCATCTCATTATCATTCCTTTTATTATTATTCCTCTTCCTAATCATTCTCTTTTTCTTCTTCATCATCCACTCTCTTCTCCCTTTTTTCCAGGGTCTCACCAAAACCCTTCCTATTTCTTCACACCTATATTTTGTCTGTAGTCCAATGACCTTGTCCTTGATAACGAATCATTAATTTTTACTCCTTCCTCCTCCCACTATTACTCCTTTTCACTCCTTCCTCCAACTGTTCCTTGGTTCCTATGCCATTCTCTCAATACCTCTCTCACTCTCCCTTCCAGCCCCCCCCTCTGCCTCATTCCATTCATCAATTGCTCTATTATACAAGGAGCAAACAAGAAAAAAAAACAATTAGTAAGCATTCACTTAGGACTAGTACCAACAAAACAATACAAAAGAAAGTAAACAAATCTCAAACACCTTTAAATCTTGCTTTTTGTAAGACCTTTTGGTAACCTTAAATACCCCACAAATAAGAACATTCTTTGCTACAATGAAAGAAGAATTGACTTAAAAAATTGATAAGCAACAGGATTTATAAAATTAAAAAAACACATTAGTAAATACAACGAATAGCAATTTCTCTCAAGGTAAGTCATATAAGTGGTATACAGGCACATACTAATCTGAAAATACACACTACCATAACAGTACCCAAAAAAGAAATTAGTTAATAAAAAAGTAAAAAGAAAAAAAAAAACATTCATGTAGACATGACCGTAGCAACAGCAAGCCCAACACATCATCTCATATATTTCAAAAATGTACCTTTTACATACAAGAACTTATCCCAAACTGCTCAGATAGATATGATAATCACTGCCATAGCAAGACAAAGAAATGGAAGATCATGAAACTGCAGACATGAATCAGTGATCTTCATACTGGAGGTCTACACCATCATAAGGGTCATGCATTCTGTATTTTGAGTGTCTTTTTAGTGCACATGTTTTCAGTGTAATGTGTGTGAGAAAGACAGACAGAAACAGAGACACAGACACAGACATGAACAGAGACAGAGAGACAGAGACTGAGAGACTGAGAGACAGAGAGACAGAGAGAAATAAAGAGAGAAAGGAGAAAAGATGAAAATGAGGAGAGAAGAGGAGAAACAAGTAACACCTTATCCATTGATCATTTAAAGATCCTGCACAAAAATGAATAATATAAAGATTAAAGTGTATCTACTTAGTACTTTAAATGTCATGCACTAACAGCAAGTTTTCTGATGTAACTCAATGATATATATCACAGCAGCTCCTTCATTACGCAAATATCATTTGAATTACCATTCACCTGTCTAAAAGCTGCATTAATCCAACGCCGACAGGCATGGCATGTACGTACATGAAAGGCCCCCTGTGTATTTACACATAGATGACTACACCTATAAACAGTCACCGATGAGCCAATTACGAGTGCTGTCTGTCTCGCCCGTTTACCCTTTTCCTTGATTTATGAAAATATTTTGTTATTCTTATTTTGCTATTACTAAGGTTTATAGTAATTATAGTAATTATAATGTCTATAATAAAAATAACACCATCAATATTCATAGCATTAGAAAAAAATAAGTTTTTCTCACCAGTTCAAGGAAAGGTGAAATCAGAGAAGGTCACAAGGTCTACTAATTAACTCCTTTGTGGCTAAGCACTAGCAGAGCCATCTATGTACATTTCACAAAAAAAATTAAAATGAGCACAGCATTTTCCCAGCGGCATTGGGTTAGCAACAACGTAAGTATCCTTAAACCAGCGACTAGAATTCTTTGCATTAACAAGATGGGTGTAGTCCTCTTCCCACATCTGGCCCATCCATGACACTGCATACCCCAATTCTAAAAATACTATAAACATAACCTAATATGATGCCACTGTCAAACACAAAATAGTGATCTAAATGATAAGTGTATCATGGACAACACACAGACTCCCTGGACTCTCAACAAGAAACACCAAAAAAATATCCATAGAGATATAAATCAAGGTAACATGTGTCAATTTTGTCTAACGTCGACATTCACTCTCTCGTCATAAAATAAAAACACCTATAGATGATAATTTCCCGCCACCAAACAGTTAAACTCACCCCATCACAAATCCCAAACCTAACCCTTTTTAACAGGAGTGCTCGACTTAAGGCTGCTGTGGACTGCTTACTCCTTGACAAGTAGTATTGCAAAAGCAGACGTGTCTTTACTCACACTTACATATATATATATACTCAACAGTGCTTGTGGAGCTGGATGTGGATATGTGTGAATGTGTGTGTGAATATGTTTATTGGAGAGAGAGAGAGAGAGAGAGAGAGAGAGAGAGAGAGAGAGAGAGAGAGAGAGAGAGAGAGAGAGAGAGAGAGAGAGAGTGAGTGAGTGAGTGAGTGAGTGAGTGAGTGAGTGAGTGAGTGAATGAGTGTGTGTGTGAGTGAGTGTGTGAGTGAGTGTGTGAGTGAGTGTGTGAGTGAGTGTGTGAGTGAGTGTGTGAGTGAGTGTGTGAGTGAGTGTGTGAGTGAGTGTGTGAGTGAGTGTGTGAGTGTGTGAGTGTGTGTGAGTGAGTGAGTGAGTGAATGAGTGTGTGTGTGTGTGTGTGTGTGTGTGTGTGTGTGTGTGTGTGTGTGTGTGTGTGTGTGTGTGTGTGTGTGTGTGTGTGTGTGAGTGTGTGAGTGAGTGTGAGTGAGTGAGTGAGTGAGTGAGTGAGTGAGTGAGTGAGTGAGTGAGTGAGTGAGTGAGTGAGTGAGTGTGAGTGTATGAGTGAGTGTGAGTGTATGAGTGAGTGTGAGTGTATGAGTGTGAGTGTATGAGAGTGAGTGTAAGTGTATGAGAGTGAGTGTAAGTGTATGAGAGTGAGTGTAAGTGTATGAGAGTGAGTGTAAGTGTATGAGAGTGAGTGTAAGTGTATGAGAGTGAGTGTAAGTGTATGAGAGTGAGTGTAAGTGTATGAGAGTGAGTGTAAGTGTATGAGAGTGAGTGTAAGTGTATGAGTGTGAGTGTAAGTGTATGAGTGTAAGTGAGTGTATGAGTGTAAGTGAGTGTATGAGTGTGAGTGTAAGTGTATGAGAGTGAGTGTAAGTGTATGAGTGTGTGTAAGTGTATGAGTGTGAGTGAGTGTATGAGTGTGACTGTGAGTGTATGAGTGTGAGTGTGAGTGTAAGTGTAAGTGTATGAGTGTGAGTGTGAGCGTAAGTGTATGAGTGTGAGTGTAAGTGTATGAGTGTGAGTGTAAGTGTATGGGTGTGAGTGTAAGTGTATAAGTGTATGAGTGTGAGTGTATGAGTGTGACTGTGAGTGTATGAGTGTGAGTGTAAGTGTAATGAGTGTGAGTGTATGAGTGTGACTGTGAGTGTATGAGTGTGAGTGTGAGTGTAAGTGTAATGAGTGTGAGTGTAGTGTATGAGTGTGACTGTGAGTGTATGAGTGTGAGTGAGTGTATGAGTGTGACTGTGAGTGTATGAGTGTAAGTGAGTGTATGAGTGTAAGTGAGTGTATGAGTGTGAGTGTAAGTGTAAGTGTATGAGTGTGACTGTGAGTGTATGAGTGTGATGTAAGTGTATGAGTGTGAGTGTGAGTGTAAGTGTATGAGAGTGAGTGTAAGTGTAAGTGTATGAGAGTGAGTGTAAGTGTATGAGAGTGAGTGTAAGTGTAAGTGTATGAGTGTGAGTGTAAGTGTATGAGAGTGAGTGTAGTGTATGAGTGTGAGTGTATGAGAGTGAGTGTAAGTGTAAGTGTATGAGTGTGTGTAAGTGTATGATGAGTGTAAGTGTATGAGTGTGAGTGTAAGTGTATGAGTGTGAGTGTAAGTGTGTGAGTGTGAGTGTAAGTGTATGAGTGTGAGTGAGTGTATGAGTGTGAGTGAGTGTATGAGTGTGAGTGTAAGTGTATGAGAGTGAGTGTAAGTGTATGAGTGTGTGTAAGTGTATGAGTGTGAGTGAGTGTATGAGTGTGACTGTGAGTGTATGAGTGTGAGTGTAAGTGTAAGTGTATGAGTGTGAGTGTAAGTGTATGAGTGTGAGTGTAAGTGTATGAGTGTGAGTGTAAGTGTATGAGTGTGAGTGTAAGTGTATGAGTGTGAGTGTAAGTGTATGAGTGTGAGTGTAAGTGTATGAGTGTGAGTGTATGAGTGTGAGTGTATGAGTGTGAGTGTATGAGTGTGAGTGTATGAGTGTAAGTGTGTGAGTGTATGAGTGTGAGTGTATGAGTGTGAGTGTGAGAAAGTGTGTGAGGACAAATATGTATGCTTTTTCTAAGTAATACAGATCAACTCCTTGATGCACCTCCATATCAGTTTCCTTTCCAGACAAAACCAAGGAGATTCAGCTGAGATGGACAAATGGGAGCACAATCACATCATGCTGTGAAACAGGTACATCTTCATACAGCACATTTATCATGACTCAAAAATTCATGTGATAATGTGCCATGTGTTACAAAAATAAAGATCCATTCTTCCATCACTGTATGAGCAACTTTAAACTTCTAGCATTATTCACACAGGATTATCTCTCATTCACTTAACCCCACTATCAATAACACTTAACATGCCAAGTCCTGGATGACTGAACTTCCAAGATAACTTCCCTTGTTCATGGTCATTATCCACGCTTAGTTTTGTTAATAACAAAACCATAGAAAAACATGACAATCCTGAGCTCACTGACACCTGCACTATCAACAGGAAGAGCCGGGCAGGTACCATGCAGCACAGATGCCAAGTAGGCTTAAAATCAGTCCTGCCCAAGGAAGACTGGTCCCAGACAGGTCGAGATTGTCATGTCTCCCTGGTCATGCACGTACAAGGCACATGCGACTGAAGCCAAGGTGATGGATAAAAGTAAATAACCAGCTCTCAGGAGTTGTCAGCGCAGTCGTGGGTAAAAAGCTTACCTTTCACTGACTGTCGCAAAAATTCTGGCAGTGTCGAATTATCTAAAAACGAACAGAGTCAAATACTGTAACTGCTTCATAAAGATTCTTTTGTCCTGTTCATCAAGACTTGTGTTCATCATGCAGATGTTAGTAAGTGATAGTAAGTTGCTCTGTTATTACTGTCCATTTATGGCTATCTACGATCACAGCTGGTACAACAGCCAGAATCTTACCTACAAATCACCTCCAATACTACCAAATTCTGACACTTATGATAATGCTCAGATATTTTATGACAATTCCACAAACAGTGCATCAAGTAGGTCATGCATAAATGAATGAAGAGAACTGTCTTGCATAGAATGTAAAGACCTCAATATACATTACTGCATATACAATGATGTAAACAAGAGAAGAATTATCTTATATATAAACAAAGAGACTCTGCTTGCAGTGCCATACTCACCGTCTTCCATGCGGACTGGCATTGCAGGGGTTAGGATCTCCAGGGCCTGACGTACCACAGATCTTGCTTCCATGGCATGGGCTTTCAAGAGGCTATGGAACACTTGCAGTACAATGCGCTTATGGATGGCAAACTTGGCAATGATGTGTGAAAGAAGGAGGTGTCCATGGTATTTGGTGGCTGGATCCACACAGTTCTTTGAGAGCAAACAAGGCCAAGCAAATGTCATGAGGCGCCTCAATTTCTGACCCTGTCTCTTGTTGCCTGCATCATGGATGTGAGCCGAGGCCTGCTCCACCAACAGACAGGAGAGCTGCAGCAGCAGAATCCTCACTGCATCGCTGTACACAAAAGGCTCGTCTGGGTTGATGACTCGTGTGATGAAAACCGAGACAACATTGTCAGGATGGTCTTGGTCTGGTGCAGGAGGGTATCCTATGAGCCTGTCTCCATCCCCATTCTCCAAGCTAACCGTGAGGCAAGGGATGATGATGTACTGCAGTATAACAGCCTTCAGTTCCTGTGGTACTGACACATCTTCAAAGACCTCCACAAACTGGAAGAAAGCTGATCTCTTCCAGTCTACAGTGTAGGTTTGAGCAACTGTTTGTTCAAGGAAATCTCTCAAGAATTGGAAGTCTGGAATAAACCTCCCAATAAATGCTCGTAGTAGTTGGAACAGCAGATTGATGTCATCTGTATGATGCTTGAAATACATCAAGAGAATTGACACCACCATGCGAGGTTCCTTCCAGTGGATGAAATCAGTGTTCTCAGCAGAGTGATGTCGCTCTTGGAATTCATCAGAAGTCCAAAGATTCCTTATTGCCATAACTAGCTGGCTTTGAGCTGCAAGCCACTGGTCATCCTGTCGAGACAGCAGTAAAATGATGCGAATGGCCAAGTACTGAAGCTGTGCCTGGTCTGCAATGGTGAGAGGCTGTTGCTGGTAGTGCTGCTGCTGAAGTCCTGCAATTTGTACAGCTGTTGGGGTTGCAAGGAGCACAGTCAGAAGCTTGTCTGTACATGTCTGCAAGTGTTGGCGGAATGGACTGCTCTCTTTGTGCCGCACTAGGAACTCTAGGTATCTTCCCCACTGTTGATCACGGGCATGGGGCTCTGAGAGGAACAATTCAACAGTTTCAGCAGGGTAACGTAACAAGAACTTCATTAGTGGGTCTCTGAAGGGGCTACCAGCCTCAATCAATAGAGCTCTTTCAGTCTGCAACACAAGCTTACACAATGCTTCTACAAATCTTGCTGATGCTGCTGGAATCTGGTGGAAAATACCAACAATGTTGGCACAAAGCTTGAGGTCATTGTTATCCTGTTTGGTCACAGATGTATTTTGCTTTCTGCTCATAATAGCCATTTCTATAAGGTTTTTCAAGTGTTGTGTGAGTTGCTCACATAGCTTTTCATTAAAGGTGTATGGGAAGAGTTGGGTCAAGTAAGAGAGTCTGTGAATGACAGGCAGAGTGACACTTCTATGGTGAAACAGCTGCCCAAGCAAAGGACGCATAGCAGAATGGACCATCTCCATGTCTACCTGGCACCCACTCTGGAATTTCTTTAGGCATTCAAAAGCAGTCTCTTGGAGCTCAGGATGCGATGAATTATTCAGCGCTTTGTACAGAGTTGGGAAGATTTTCTCTCTTATCTGAGGGATATAATGACAGGCAGCAAGAGCCTTCAGGGCAGACTTCCTTAATGGCACAAGATTTCCTATGTTTTTGTAACAAGAGAGTTTTGCTAAGTAGGAGTCTTCTGTCTCTACCAGCATGTGTAATTCTGAGAAAAAGAATTTATGCTCTTGTAGGCTGAGGTCAAGGGTAAACAGGCGAGGTTCCAGGGTAGTACAGAATGTGTTGCCATCCATCAGACCAATCTGAACATTGGCTGGTTGTTGTCGCAGAGGATGTTTCTTAGGTGGAATCATGTCTGCTAATACATCTTTGTGAGGCTGCATCACTTCAGTGACTCCTCTGCCACTAAGTTTTGCTAGAACATGAAGACTCTGCATGGCTTGCTCTCTCACTGTTGTGTTTGGAGATGTGACCTGCCGTACCAACTCATGGGTTACATCATGAAGGGATTTGCTCTGTATCTGTCTCATTTCATCAGTGTTGTTTTCTCCTTCCAATGGAGCTCCACATACCTGCAACATCCTCTCCAGATTATTTTTGGCCATATCTACTGCACCACTTGAGACCTCACCTGTCAGGTCCATCATAACAAAGAGCAATGCACGCAAAAATGGGAATTGGTGTTCTAAAACCCATTTGAGTGCCATACGCTCAAATAAGAACTTGATAGCAATGCACCCACCAAGCTTTGCATACCAAGCACGTTCATAACAGAGACCACACATCTTCTCCACAAGATATTCCATGAGAGGCAGCTGACAAGCTCTCTCCTTTGTTCCAAGTATATTTGTGGCAGCTTCCATGATGAGAACAAGTGCCAAGTGTCCTGGTTTACAGAGTTCCTTCTCTTCATGTCCCATAATGACAGCCAGAGCATCAATCAGAACAAGAGGATCCATCCCCTGTACCTTGGTCCAGCGACCCATCATGTTGAAAGGTCCAGCTTGTTGTGCAATGGCAACCATAGTGTAATGCCTTACTAATGACACCATTGTTGGCAATACACTCTTCCGAAGATCCTTAATGGCTGCTGCAACAAACATGGCAGTTACAGCCATCTGGTGCACTTGCCTTGCTTGTTCATCAGGACACTTATAGTATGGTCCATGCACTGTTAAGAGCTCCTCCTCCCTGAAGTTAGGGTGTGTGAATAACTTGTTGACCATGTGCTTTTCCTCATCAAACTGCATGGAGCCAATGAGGAAGCAGCGGATCACCTCCCAGCACTGGCGCCTGTACCAGGGTTCCGTAGTGGAGGTCTTGAGAGCAGTGAAAGCTGTCTCAATTATTTTCTCAACTGGCAGCATGATGGGGGACTTGTGCTCTGAGAAGTGGATAGTGATACAGGTACTTGGGGTCTCCTGTTCACTATATTCTAACTTTTGTGGTTCAATCATCATCTTCCTGTTCCCACCACCAAACTTTCCAAGGACACGGAAGGCCACCTGAGCAATGGTGTCATTGGGATTCCTGAGTGTCTTCCAAAGAGCCTGCATTAATTCTGCCCTCACTGGCTGAATGTGCTCATACAGAAAGTCAGGCTGAAGGTTGTCCACACACAGTTCAAGGGTCCTGAGTCCTTGTGAAATGAGAGTTTGTGAGCCATTAAGAGCCGACACCAAAGGATCCATGAGCATTGGGAGGTATGGCAGCAGAGAGGATAATCTCACTGGTACAGTAAGACACAGCTCTACAAATAGGTCCTTCATGTGTTGCTTGTGTAGGCCACTTTGCAGGCTGTTGAGTCCCTGTAGGAGTGTGGGTAACAGAGGTAGAAACTCCTGATACAGCAAGTCGTGGCTACCTCCTCCAATAGACCTGAAGAGGGCTCGCAACAGCAAAAAGTAATTGTAGGGATCCTTTGCACTCATGGCCAGCTCCATTGACCGGTTGACTATTTGATGGAGGTGGGGCTTCAACATCTGTTCATTCTCTGCTGCAAACAGTGATACAGACCCAAAGACTAGTTTGAATAACTTCAGATATAAATTAGATCTGTCCATGGATGTTCCCATTTCTTCCATGTGACCTAAGAGATATTCTACAAGTATGGTGGCAAATATTGGTGAAGTTGTAGAATTGGCAAGGAAGGAATTGGCTACAATCTGCAGTGCAGTATTGTGGTATATCCGCTCAACAACATAATCAATAGTTGTGGAAAATATTTCTCTGAAGGTGGCTGGATTCATCATAATAAAGACTCCAGCAAAGTGTTCTAATACTTCTTTCTCCTCTTTGGACCTGACAGTCTGAGGCACCTGTCCTCGCTGACCAGAAGGCTGTTGGTTACCTGGCGCATTTAGTGTGTAGATATCCAACGCCTGCATGGCCCACTTGACTAGACGGATAAATACAAGGGTTTCCTTTGGATGAAAGGACTTGTTGAGGGTGAGACCAGGATCAACTGCTGACTTGCACGAGGCACAACCCCATGTGATTGTCTTGACTCCACAAACAAGGGTCTTGACTAGTGCTCGACAGTCTGACACACTGTAATTCACTGTTACATTGGGTGGAAAGCCAATCCTCTGGGACTCTTTATCTTTGTTGTCCATTTCTGTTATGCTTAGTCTAATGTCTTCCTTCCTCTCCTCTTGAACTGCTGTGCTATTACTGGATGTTCCACTGCTGCTATTTGCAGGAGAACTGCTTGATGCACTGTTGAGCTGTTGTTTGTTTTTCAGGTACGGCAACTGGAGCTGTGCAATAGTCTTGAACTTATTCACAAAGACATGAAGCATACGGATCAAAAGGTCCCTGCCTGCTCCTGGCTCATTAGGATTGGCCTCACTGCGAGACCGAATGCAATCTACCAAGTTAAGCAACAGTTTGCATGACATTGTTTGGATGCTTGTGGGAAGAGTTTCATCATGTATATTCTTCGAAAAGAGATGGACAGCACGGGTCAGGGCTCCCATGTCCAGCTGCTGACGGACATGATGAACCAAGTCTGCCAATGTTGAGTATGCCAATGGGCGGAGGGTTTCATGCGCTGTCCAGCCTCTTCCAAACAAAAGGCTCTCATCAAACAGCTTATCAATATGAGGGACAAATCCTGAAAGAAACATTGTGTTTTAGAGTATACTATGAAAAGCAATCTGAGAAATATTATAGAATAAAAAATCTGTTCTAATCCTTTACGTAACTCCACACATAAAATTGTTACCCTACATCTATACTTATAATCACACTCCAGCATTATTACTTTACACGTGATCTTTTCTCTTTCAATTGCTGGTAGCATTTAGTGTCAACAATATAACAAGTCATCATGCCAAAATATAACTTTCAATTTTAACAAGTCTACAGATCAGCCAGCACAAGAACAAAGAGCAGTACAAACATTATTCACAAACATACTATTTCTTAGTTCAAGCGCCAAGATGTGCTTGGTGGCAATCAGCAGCTCCTTGCGCAGATGAGCCACTTCATTGGGGCAGAGAGAGAGGAGCGTGAGCATTCCAGTGACCAGTTTTGTGGAGTGCTGTGCAACCACATCTTGGTAGATCTTCAGGATGTATGCTAAAAAGGACAGAGTCTTGATCTGTGCAGCAATAAGGTCAACAAACACTTCCTTGTTGAATGCTTCATGCTCCCTGAAATCAGAAGGAATTTCATCAAGTTTATGAATGGCATGAGTTTAGATGGGGATAAAAAGAATGCATATATATCAAACATACACGAATACAGACAAGGGAATACCACATCTTTAATATAAAGAAATATAAAAAGTTACATTAAGTTCCAAATGAAAAATTAATGCATTAAAATGAACATTCTACTTTCCTTTTTCTTGATATTTCCATGATGTACATTATCAGAGAGAGTAAGAATACAAGTAAATCCATATTCTCTTCCCTGCTTATTCAAAAAAGTACAACAAAACAAAAGAGAATGTTCTTTGTGCTGTGAAAAACCTTGCATTTACCTGTGTTGTGCAAATGGTTGGAGAACAATTGTGTTCATGATGAGAGGGATGAAGTCAGCTACATCTTGGTAAACCTGCTGTTTGTACAGCTGAAACATCAGCACCACAATAATGGGCAATTCTGTCAGTACCTTTAGGGACAGCACGGCACGAGGAATTACATTATACTGGAATAAAACAGAATATTGTGTTTAAGTCATACAGTCTCATTTTGATAATGAAATTAAATATTTCATGAATTCTTCTCAATCTAAAAAGTAAATATCACTTGTGAAGAATACGTACAAGAATTAGATAAAGTTCTAAAATCAAATCCTAGATTTCCACATGATTTAAATGAAAAATGCAATCTGTATGGCAAGTATTGACCAATAACAATGACTTTCTTCGTCACACAAACCTAAACTTAATATATCCATATCAAGAGTACCAAAAGAAATAAGAATTCAATAAAAGCCCAAATAATAGACTAAAAAAAAAAAAGGAACTATTTCTTGTAGATCTTCCTCAGAACTTACAGTTATGGAGGTGCCATCCTGCAACTTTTTCTCTGTGTGAATAGGTGTAATGGTGAAAGTCTCTTGCAAGAGCGCCTCAACATTAACCTCCGAGAGATCAGTTACACGTATTACAGGCCGGGGTTCAAAGATCTTGTTCATGTGGTTGGGCAGGTCTTGGTACATATTTTTGACAAACTGAAGAAACTGCTGGATCTAATGAAGAAAGAAAGTAAACATAAATAAAATTCAAACTATCAAAAATATCTACTCTGGCTTCTCCTTGAAAATTTGAATAAGAATTTACAGATCTGCGCTTGAAATTTAGAACAATTTTCCCGGAGTTAGCCTAGTTGTCTTTGTACTGATTCAACATTATACAGATCACACTAAACAGTGTAGAAAAATCATATGTTGTGCATCCTCATACAGAGATACAGACTTCCAAAGTTGGTTAAAAACTCTAATTTTAATAACATTTGTAAATAAAGCCATCAGGAACAAGGATTCATGATAACCAAGACTGAAATCACCAGATTAGTACAGATAGATGCTCAAGCATAGGAATCCTGTACTTTGGCCAACTTTAGTGGCCTTGGTGCAACAGGTTGACCATCACTTTGGAAAGGGGTAAGTGTAACTACATATATGCATTTAGTAGAATTAAATCAGATGTAAGAAAAAAACATTCAAAACATTATGAAAAACATACTAACAAGTAACTTTAAAAAAAGATTCAGAAAAGTCAAATCTTCCCATTTCACTTGTATACTAAGGAAAATTTTAGTGGTATCAGTAATACCTAGTATTTTTTTTTTACTAAGCAATATGGTATCTAGCACTGATCACACTTTTTCTTTACCTTCAGTGATAAGAACAAAAAAATTAATAAATTAGTAAATTATTATCTTAAATACTACTTACTAATTTTTACTTCAATTTTGGATAATGAATAAAGACATATATATATATAAACCAGAAAAATGCATCTTCCCCACAAACCCATTTGTATAGAAAAAAAAAGACT